TGCTCAATTTAAATTCCAACGAACCCATCTTCTCATAAAACACATCAAGGAGTCGCCCGGTAGAAGGAAACAGCTGGACGTCCACTACAATGTTGGCAGCATCGAAATCGAGACAATGTTTGATGGTCTCTTTGACACCTTCATATGCGGGCGCGTAGTGAAGGTCCTCGTAGTAGTAGTCATCGTTTCGGGGAGGCTCAACTTCACGGAAGTATAAAGAGGCTTGAGAAAGAGGGGTTTTAGCTTCGACCCAGGATGCAAGGAGGCTACCAAATGCATGCGCGATGATGTCAACATGAGATTTCGAGTCTTTGTTTCCCTCCTCCACATTGCCTCCATCTGAATTTTCCTCTCCAGACCTCAGGACCCGATGCATATGCTCCGCTAGAGGTGCATCAACACCGAATATGAACTTAGTAAGGTTCCGCAGAGGAAGATCCCGAGATTGCTGCGTGCTACTGGCGTCCGTGGCATCTCTTCTTCTGTGTATATTCCTGAGAGCCCTCAGCAAGGCCCTTGGGCGTATATCGGAGCAGAGCGCCACTTCCTCCAATAACGGACATCCACCAAGCAGGCCAATTAGCTCCTCGATCATGATATCCACATAAAACAGCGAGATGCTTCGCAGAGGTGCGACAATGGGCGGAACGAGAATATGCATCCGAGGGAACGGATGCACGTAAGTGTCACGCAAGCTTCTATTACGGTACAGCCCAAGGTCCCGCACGACGGGGAGGCGGATCAGTTCAATGAGAGGCTCGATGTCATGCGGTGCGTAGCTCATTCTGGACAGGCAGACTTGGAAATTTCGCATGTTCTCGAACGCGACGGGCGCAGGAGGGAGGAAGACGCCAAGTTCTTCGAAATCATATTGAGCGGCAAGGTCGACGTTGGAAAATACTACGCTCTCCAGTTGTGGTGAGAACTGGAAAAGGATCGTCGCAAAATCCTGAACCGTCATCGCGCTCGTGATTTCCAAGTGCGTAAATTGTCCCCATGGGAGACTAAGAAATGGCTCGGGTCCGATGAGGATTTGTTTGGTATTAAGGACAACCTTGCGGAGACAAGGAGAGGAATCAAAGACAGTGACTATTGGGTTAAAGTATTCCGACTCCACGCCTATCATGTCGACAAGGATCAGGGTCTCCAGCACAGGAAAGGTCCCAGGTGGCAATTCGAGAAAAGATGCGAAGGCTGACATGCGGTCGTTTTCATTGGCAAGGTAAATCTTTGTCACTCGTGATGCATAAAGGAAGATGCCCCGAACGGCATCCTCTGCTATAGAGGAAGTGAACCAATGGGATAAACAGATACTCAGTGAGAGTGGGAAAGCAGGATTTGAGCGCTGGAACCAAAGTTCGATGTGGTTGGTTATTGCATCTTCGTTTATGGCGCCCTGTGTTTTTTCATGCATGTCAAGGTGTAAGTGATTCCAAAAGCTAGGGCATGCGAAGGTGGCGGCCCTCCACGAAGAGCACACATGTGACAGCTTCATTGGCGATATCGTGCCAGAACGAAGTATCGTGCGAGAACGGGTGAATGGAGAGCCCAAGGTATATTCAAATATCCGAACGAGTACGTCGAGGGGAAGGAGACGGGAGGAAGAGTTCCAAGATTGATAATACTTGGCTTTAGTTTCCTTTTGTAGACGTTGCGCTGCTAGGTGTTTTAAAGCCACTACAGACTCGTTAATCTTGAGTTGAAGGCGTAAAATTTCCGTCTCAACCCTTATAATTTCAGCGTCCTGTTTATTTAATACAGCTTCGACAGCCGAGGCCTGTACGGGTACCAGCCTATAGTTGGAGCGTCGCAGTGCATTGGCCACTTGGAGGAAATTAAGGTCAATATCATCTTGTTCCTATCAAGTATGAATTTTAGATTTTTTTTGCCTGCGTAGAAATAGAGTTTCGGACATACGGAGTCCGTTTTAGCAGTCTCTTGACTCTCTAGCGATCTCTCGATAACTCGAACGATGTCTGGTGACAAGCTTTGACCTTTTGCACTGTGTGATAAATGAATGTGCTTGATTTCAAAGGTTTACAAGCGTACATTTAGCTGGGAGATAGGAGGTCCGAATTAGCCTTCAGCTATCCCATGTCTTATAAGATAAAACCACTAACAGATGCTTCGAAACTGGGACTCGAGGGTCTCTCGGATTCCTTCAGGTAAGGAATCTGTCGCGCTGCGCCTCATTCGTGAATTTTGGCCCTCGTCGACGTCATACGAGTCCACATCCGACATTGAAAGTTGAGGACTCGGCAGAAACATTGAAAATTAATGAAGATTGGCGATCGCCGTTGTCAATGGTCATGGAAGTGACCAGGACTACGACTTTGTGACGAACGCCAAACTAAGTACCAATTTTGAAGTCAGCCTATTACGGTCCACGAGAGAGAGCGCCTTTGAGGGCGCGCGCCTCTAGCTGGAAGTAGGATAAGCGAGGATTCCCGAAAAGGCTATTGAAGTTATCGCCCCTTATGTTGATAAGCACGAGATGATGATGGTCATTAAAGTAGATTGGTAGGAATAGAAGGGAAGGAAAATGGAAGGTTTATGTTCCTATGACTGTGCGCTTTATACCGGTCCCACTGTCCTAAGAGACCTTCCCTCACAGAGTTCATCGCATAATTTTAGCGATCGGAGTTTGAACTAGAACGACACACGTGATCCATTCCCAACAAACTTTTGTCCAGGGCCGAGTCTGGACATTGGACACTCCAACGAAAGTGTTCTAATGAGTCTCTCTACGCTTCTTAGAGGCTCTGAGGCCATTGACAGCGAGCTTGACGCTCTATTTACAACCCGGGTATTTTTTTCTCTTGAGATCCGCCATAAAACTTGACTCATTTCTGCCTAATCAGCCTATCACTTCCGATTCCTCCAAGGTTCATTACAATCCATTCGAAAAATTGCATAGAGCTAATTTTTTTGCCTTCAATAGCCTTCTCATCCGTTCAAACAACCTGCTACCTTAATCCCGATACCTGGGTCGTCGAAAGACTCTGCCAAAAAGAAACGCAAGTCTGTCGACGATTCAAATGCTGACAGGAGCATTTCAGAGCCGAAGAAACGCGTTAAAACTAGCCCGAAGGCCGATAGTTCCCAGAATAAAACTTCAAAAGAGAAGAAGGTCGAGCTCGAGGAGAAAAGGCCTAAAGATCGGAAGGGTACCAAAGGCAAGGTGAAGGCGAAGGAGGTCGAGCCAGATGACGAGGACGAGAATTCTGACCTGGAAAATGCATATCTTGCTGGAAAGACGACTCTCGATGAAAAGGCTGGAGCAACAGATGGAAGTGACAAAGAAGGAAATGCTGAAGGCCGGATCGAACACGAGTCGGTGACCAAAGCAAAGAAGGCGGCGCGCTCAGCTAAGCCGAAGACAAAATACGTTCCGGAGGGGGAGACGCCCGAGCTTAGAGATAGGCGGACGATTTTTATAGGCAATCTCTCCGTCGAAGTTGCTCAGCAGAGGGTCAGTTTGACTCAATCTACTCCAATTCTCATTGCTCATAATACAAAACGTTTTCAGCCCCTTTTGAAACAATTACAACGTCATATTCTTTCTCATATCCCAACTGCTAAAATCGAGTCGACACGTTTTCGCTCCGTGCCCTTCCAGGCACCCACCTCAGAGATCCCTGATGCTGACGCTCTCGAAGGCAAAGCCAACCCTAAGATTACACAAACCAAGGGCAAACCTAAAACTGCACGACCTCACGACATCGACCGCACTTCTTCATGGCGGTCCAAAGAGAAAGAAAAAGACCAAGAGAACACTGGCGACGAGAAAAAATACCTCACTCCGAATCAGAAAAAGAAGGTTGCGTTCATTAATCAAGAATTCCATTCTACCGCAGACACAATCCACGCCTATGTCGTCTTCGCTCACCCAGTACCACCTGAGAACCGACCAAAGAATCTGCCCCCTCTTCCACCTGTACTCGACCCGTACGACGCAGCAAAGCAGGCTGTAAAAACCTGTGATGGCAGCACATTCATGGATCGTGTTATTCGTGTCGACTTAGTTGGTAAGAAGGGATTACCCAGCGTTGGCGAGGATGGGGAGGCGGACTTGGATGTTGGGGCTGCTGATCCGAAGTCCACCGTGTTTGTGGGCAACTTGGACTTCGCAAGTAAAGAGGAGGATCTGCGTGCCTTCTTTGAGGGCGTGGTTAGCGCAGAGAGAGGTCCGCCACCCGTGGATGCTGAGGGCGAGGGAAACACTGGTGCTTCCAAAAAAGCGAATTCGTCGTGGGTCGTTCATGTGCGAATTGTTCGTGATAAAGACACGCAACTCGGAAAAGGATTTGCCTATGTTCAGTTCACTGTATGTTTTGTTTTCTCGTCTGCTCTAACCATCTTCTGATCACTTTTTTCAGGACTATGAGTGTGTGGATGAACTCCTAGCTCTCGAACCCGAAAAGTTCAAGTTTGCAAAGCGCAAGCTGCGCGTCCAACGTTGTCGTACCTTGCCCGGTGCTTCTTCCTCGACACGGCAAGCGACAGCAAGCAAGAAAACGAAGGACACTCCAAACGCCGCTGCCGCCAAACGACCACCACCGGTTGTTGTACCAAAGGGCGACCCCTCCCTTGGCGAGAAACTTGCTCATCTCAACAAGGAAGCAAGGAAGCAGTTTAAGTCGGCTGACGCCGATCGCGTGGCGAGGAGGTTGGCAAAGAAGAAAGCGAGAATGGCGATGGGGGTGTCGGGAGTTAAGGTGCAGGGCAAGGATAGGGAGCGTGTTCGAAAAAATACGGGAGTTAAATCTTCCGGCAAGAAGGCAGGCGCTGGGGCTAAGAAGGGTAGGGTGCGGAGTGAGAGGAGCTTGGCCAAGCGGAATGGAAAGAAGTCGGGTGCGTCATCAGAAGGCTGAGGTGAGAATTACTAGAGATTTATAAGTACGGTTTATTCTCTTCATAGATACGTAGTTATCCAGGACGAATATTTGTCGTATGACCAGAATAACGAATCGATATGTGATACTCGCCGGAAATGTCAAGGGGATTTAGCTCAGGGGTAGAGCGCCTGCTTTGCACCCAGTTGCACTTGCATGAGGCCGTGGGTTCAAGCCCCACAATCTCCACTACGCATAATGTTTTCTGAATTTTTGGTCTTAAACGCCCTTCCATCCCTCTCCCGCTGTTGCCACCTTGAAATCATCCTAGCGCATTATGTCTTGTTCATCACTTTCCAAAAAGTAACATTGGATGCTGAGAAAGTTATTTAAACACGGCTTACAAAGGGTAACGAACGAACCTCCCCAGGGACGACCAAAAAATATGTTACCAGCCGTGCCATTGACAGCACCGGGCGCAAGGATGATTTCGTTTTTATCCAACACATCTAAGAGATAGCATCATTCAAGGCAAGGATGAACACAAACAAGTGAGCTTACAGCTGCCATCATCGTCAGATTCACGCCCATTCGCAGTGATACAACCAGGTCCCGCTACTGCAATAGTGTTTCCTCCAAAGAATGCAAGGGCATGACGGCCAAAGATGAAATCCACTGCGCCCTGAAAGTCGAACAGCTGAGCTGGAAAGCGGGATATGTATATCCATACATACCTCGATGTAGTTTTTGAGGTAAACCTGTGTTCCCTCATTTGCATAGAGTGTATCCTGGTAGCCATAAAAGCCACAACCATAGAGCCCAACACGACTCCCGTACTGGCTGAATGCGATGGCTTGGGTACCAGGGCCAAAAGTATTTTTCACATCAACATTGTACATGTTGAAGTCGTCCTTATGGATGCGAAGCGTGCCACTGGCGTCGTCTGACCCCGCTGCAGTCGAATTAACACCAGCTTGAATGCTCACTGTGTTTTGGTAGAAGCTCTGGCTATTGGTAGTATAGCCATAGATCTACACATGACAAGAATTGTTAAAGATATAGAATGACGTGCACCCTAGCGGACTTACAGTCAAAGGACCT